TCATGCAGTGTTACATGACACCATGGATCACTCACCCAGTGTAAGAATTTCATTACTTAGGGTGCTGAAGTGTAAGCTTCAAAATGTACAACCGTGTCTGAGATAATTGCCTTGGGATTGGCCAGAGTTTTATTCTTCGATTTCAATCATTATTTTGGACCAGTGTTTGTTTGTAAAAAAAAAAGGCACTTCTACATGTGTAATTGTAAAATGTGCAAATCTCTTGCTAGGGAAGTCAGACACAGGAAATCAGTAAGAAAAATAATTCTAGGAACCAGATAAGAGACTTCACAATGCGTGGGTTAACACAATTTTCAGAAATGGTGGGGTATTTTTGCGACCCTGTTGAAGTGCAAGTATGACACAAGCTGTCTTGTGATGCAGTTATCCTCCCTCAGCCAGAGCAGCTTGATGTCCGCAGCATAGCTTAAAAGGCTTTTTCCCCCTTTCCAAACAAGTGAAGGGTGAACAAGTGTTGAACAGTGCACTACTTGTTCGATCAGTTGTTTGTGCTCGTGCTCGGACATGCACGGTGAAACGTGAAGGCCCGGTTTTTATAGTCACGGTTTCAAAAAGTGCAAGGCCTTGACTTTTTTACGTAAATCGTGAACACTGGTGAACAAGTTCCTCACATTTCCTGCCTAAATATTGGGTGCAGTGAAAAATGGCCTCAGATACGGAGTTTCAACAGGTGTCAGTTTCAGAAATTTTAATGGGAGAGGACAGGCACTTTTTAAGCTTGGCTGGGAAAGGACAGGCAGATACATGTACATGTATGCCAATCCTAGATGAAGCCCTGATTTGTAGCTTCTCCAGATTTCTGTCTGAGTCTGTTGAAATCCTCTCCCACTCTACATTTGTTTTTGATAGATTGAGAGGAGTGGCTGCACTGTTCAGGGGGACTTTGGCATCCAAATTTTGTTGACACACACAGAGAAATCAGAGAGGGGTATTGAATTACTGCAGAGTGCTTGAATTTTTGGACAGCTTGAAGAAAGGTTTCTTCTAGCCTGCAGCTGATGTGTGTTTGGGGAGGTCAGTTCAGGATCTCCCATTTCTCACCTTCTAACACTAAGCCTGTTGTCTGGCACTAGTCCAATTAGCACACAGGCTGGAGGTTTCTTTAAGCCACCTGCACAAACCCCAATTTGTGCCTCACGAGCCCTGGCAGTGACATTGAGGAGCCCTTTTTGAACCCCCTTTTTTATCAATCATCCATCTGAGAATTATCCACTTTTACTCTCAAACAAGACACAAATGGTCGTAATGGTGCAGCACCCACGAAATCCAGCTCTCAACCCTGTGGCAAGCTTTCCACCTGTTTCTGCACTTTTAATTTAGAATTCAGGAATAATGTGGAGCAATTTCATTTTTTTTTAGTGTGTTCTGACACACACTCTGGTCAGATGAGGTTAGTTCCGGCAAGTTGAAGGGGCCAGTTTTAAGAGGGGAATCAGGAATAAGGCTGTACTCGGGACTTTGCTCTTGGTTTCCATATAGTTTGTTTTCCAATCAAGGTTGTCATTGTTGAGCTGACCCTGGATCAGACATGGACTGGACTGTCAGAATTGCTGATTGGCTTCACGTTTTGCTTGGGTTCAAGGGCACATTAAGAATGCCTGTGTTTGCTGTTGTGATGTCTGTCTGTCCTGACATACAGAGGACAGTGTTCTTAAACACGAGGTGGGCAGGAGGGTCTGCTTCAAACTCATACACTGTAAGTTTTGATCCTAGCAGAATCTTTTTCCAAGGAAAAGTTCCTTCAACTGTAAACAGGTATATGCCAGACAGCACTTAGCCAATCTGTGATAACTGTACTGATGTCTTGATCGGTATCCTCTTATCAAAATCCATTGTATCCTCTTATCAAAATCCATTGTACGTGATGGCGTTCGGTATCAGTTGGTTTCCTACCTCATTTTCCTGTCCTGGTGTAACTCTGTCACCGGTGTCACTGATTTGTAATACCTGAGAGGAAGTGACCGGCCGTTTTCACCAAGGACAGAGGGTGGAAAGTCAGAGCCTCCAGATTTGTTGCCAGAAATTTTGTGGACAGTGACCTATTAGAAGTGTGATGTGATAAAAGCCAAAGAAGTGAAAATTAATATTACTGTCCGACAATAGATATAACTCTCCTTCTGGTGTGTGGTTTTGTTTCATTAATGTGTGTTTGGATACGTGTCAGAGAAATGTTAAATTTTATACTAATTTTGCCCTTACATCGAAATAGGTATTCACGCTGTATTCTCAGTAATATGGTCCGAGAATTGGGGGGAATGTGAACCCACGTGTTCCTGCTTACAAATGCAGGTGTCTTTATAACCCTTGACCAAAACATTTGGCAAGATCAGATAGCTAGCTGAAATCCAGTGCAGGACGAGATAACTGTTTTTACAGTTTTACAAAAAATTCAAAACTGTTTTGAAGAGTTCGTGCATTGAAAAACTTCTTCCCTATTGGAGAAATGAATTGTACGAGGAAAGACTGCCCTCTGGTGATCACCTTTGGTAATTCGTGTAGTGTTTTTTTATCACCAGTGACAAAAACATGCTAAACATCTAAATGGCTTCAATATGTTCTTAAGGCTTGTTGGAGATGAGGAATCATTACTGCAATCTCAAGAGAAAACTACCTGTAACTCAAACAAGGAGGATCACAATCATCCAAGGTCTGAATTGTACCAACATTTTCATTTCTATGATTGGCAAGAGCCTTACTTATTACTGAATTACAGTGCACATCTGCCATTAAGTGAATGCCTGATTCGGATTACCAATGCCCACTGACCAGGGAAAAAAACGGAAACTGCTCCATCTAGTCTGTTGTTTCCCCCTGAGCAAGATACACTTTGCTGGATCACATTTGCATTGGGCTGAAGGGTGCTGGAATCAGAGAACACATGCACTGCAGGGTGTACTGTACTTCAGCTCCACACTTTCATATCCTACTTTGGTTTTGGGGTGCTGTGGGGAAAAATGTAATCCTTCAGCAGTTAGCATGTGCCCTGAATATTTGAAAGAGGTCATTTTGTTTTTGTCAGTCTTGCTTTGTAAAACTTTTCCGTTAACAGAAAGGGGAGGCACCCACAAGTGTCCCAAATGGAAGTGAACCTAAACATATATGTTCAAGAGGGGCATACTTAAGCAACAATTTCTGTCTTTCAAGTTACAAAAAACAAAAAAAACAAAAACAGTGAAGTTGCAACAGGAAAAAAAAGAGAAACGGGAAAAGGTATGATGTTAATTTCAAAAGAAATTAAAGGGGGGGTTAGATTGGTGATCCCCGCTTGATCCTCCGCCCTGACATGCATTGGAAAAACTGTTATCTGGACTAAAAAAAATGGAATGCACACAAAGATTCTCTCTGAATTGGATTCAGAAGTTCATATGACACTAGCCTAGGATATAAATATTCAGAGCATTATATCATCGATCTGCGATCAGGGTGATGATGCGCAGCAGCACTCAAACTATTAGACATAGTTTAGGTGCAACAAAAACCTGCTGCTTCCGTTTTGCCCCCACAGCTATTGTGATGAAGTCCTGCAACAATATTGGACTGTGCACTGAAGTGCCTGGCCACGGGCTAGTTCATAGTGATATAAAGGGGGTTGCAATCATCAATTCTATTCTTCAGGGCTCTTTGAAAAGTTCCCTGAAATTGGTCTTTTTCTGAGGAAAGGGTTTGGAGTGGTCTGCAGTGTCCGTTGTCGCCATTTTTTAATCCTACAAAGTGTAACCAAGAGCCTGGCTTTGAGGGCAAAATGGAATCAATTTTGCACTAGACTTGGTGACTACCTACCATGGTCTTTACACACTCAACTGTCTGTGTACACACGCAAGAACGCGTAATTTGAGAGATATTACTCGGAGGGTTTCAGGAAGATAGTTTTTAAAGGAGCTTGCAACGGGAGTCTCATAAATCTGCATCGTGTGTCTCCGATGAGACTAATGGCATCACTTTGGGAGACATTCGCCATTGATGGATATTGCATTAAAATCTATTGGTGTACATCATAAACCAAAGAAAGTGCCATTCTATCCCTTAATGACTAGGAGCAAATCCTGCATCTACCAGGGAAGGGGGGTGCCTGACTTTTATGAAAGGGGGCTCCCAAATGAAGGTGACCTCGAAAAGACAAGTGGAAGACACTTTATTGACAATCATAGGCATTGTGAGGGGGGTAAGGGTGGTGCTTCTCTTCTGCCCCTCCCCTGGGAAAAAAATTTCACAAAATGTATAAGAAGAAAAAAAAAGAAGAAAAGCAAGAGAAATTTTTAGCAATATAAACAGGAATAAGAATCACCAATTTTCTTGAAAAAAATCTCAGTCTTGACCCCTCCCACTATTGTTCTTAGCTGATGAGTGCTTTGCTCCCCCCCCCCAAATTTCCCTCTCAGGAAAAAAAGTGGCTAACTCCCCCCCCCCAAAAAAAGATTTCTGGCAAAATTAACAAATGACCAGTTGACAAGAGAAAACAAGGGGAAAGGCAAAAGCTATTTAAAAAAAAAAAAAATTGAGAATGAGGGACTTGCCATTTCCAGATCCTCTCCGCGTCTGCTACTGATGACCACTGGAGCTTACTTGGGGGATGGGGCTGAGCTAATTGACCTCTAAGCACTAAGCCAACTATCTTTGCTCCCAGAACACAATCAGCTTTTCTAAAAAAAAAAAAAAAAGAAGCCATAGGAACTGAACTTTGCAACTATGGCTGGCAGTTTAGCATTATAAGTGTAATGAGCTGATTAGTGGTTAGCCATCGTATATTTTACTGCTGTCAATGGACAGTCTCCTGACGACAGACAGAACATACTGTCCGAAACATTGAGGCTCCCCCCCCCGGTTCTTTTCAGAACCACACATAATCACTGAAGAGATATTTTGGCATGGTGCTACCGCTAACCTTTAACTTGCCACCTTCACCATGAAAAGCTTCAAAGTCCACAAATATTTTTCACACTGTCTGTTTAATATTCTTTCTTCTTCCTTCCTCCTCCCAGATGAAGTTTGTATCAAATGTCACAAGTTGGACAGCAAAGAAACCAGCCTTTTACCATGGCCATTTAGCCTTTATAGATTTTGGAAGGTAAGAATTTTAACTTGAAGTTGAGATTTGAGCTAAATAAAAGACTAAATGCCCAGGTAGAGAAAATGGCGGCCGTCAGATTTAATTAAAGTACACTTGGGACAGTATGAAATGAGCATTGAAATTAACAAGAGAAAATGGATTAATGACTCTGCCAAAGGAAAAACAATTTCAGTGTGCAGGTTCTTCAGATTTTCAACCTCACAAGGAATCAAGTCACAGCCGTTCTTCTTTCCCTGATATCAAAATGTTCTGTTTACAGCACCAATTGTACTTCAGACATGTAGAATCTCAAGTATGGCCACCAATTAAACTTGGGGTATTACCCTGCACAAGTCCACGCTATCAAACACGGTAGGAATGCAGCACATGCTTTCGCAATTTCTTCACCGTCAAAACACCAGAGGCCCCAGGTCGGTTACCGGAATGGCCCAGAGCAGTAAATCACATTTTCTGCCATATGCTGTCCTATCAAGTTGCGTTTAGCTACGCAGAGACGAACAAGATTCCTACAGTCACACTTGAGAGCTTCTTTACATTTCCTTCTTTTTTAAGACCATTTTTTGCTTCACAAGTTTGTTTGTTTTTTTTCTACCCGACGTCTCGTTGACGCCGTCATTCGGAAATGTCGTAAAGTTTCATTTTGCCCCTATAACTCCATTTAAAGTTTGATAACTTCGGAGACAGACAGGCTAATGGCTCCCTACGACTTAAAAGAAGTTGTCATCGCTCTGCCCAGCCCCTCAATTTGTTGGTTTTTTCTTCAAGGGTGGCGTTATTATGACTCATGCTAATCACCGAGCCAATGAGTTTACCACATGCCCCCTGCTGGTGGTCTGCACGCCTAGTGCATGCACATGAAGACATGCAGACGATTTAAGAACTGTGATTGGGCTTAAGCTTATTACATTCACCGTTTCATGGTGGTCTCTTAGAGAATTTTGGCTGCCAGAAAAGAGCATGACAAGCATCATAGTAGTCCGTAACTCGTAGGATATCTGTTAGATGACTTGACTTTTAAACTCTTTTGGCATTTTCAAGTTTTCAGAATTTGCTTGTTTTTCAAGGCAGCGTTGTGGTCGCAACCGATTTGTCAATTTTTAGAGGGCAATGAACAAACATCTCTGCTCTCAGTCTAATGTTAAGTCCTTACAAGACCATCATGAGACATCCAATCTGAATACAAGCCACAACTTGGTCAAAGGAGTGACAGCAGAAGCATTCCTTTGTCACTATTCACCCTTTTGCTCGTGTCTGGTCTTGGCCACTTAAATTTTTCAGTGACGTTCATTTCATGTTTTTTGGCACTTTAATACTCAAGATCAGTGTCTTGACCTTTCACCTTGTAATCCTTTCTTTTTGATCAACAGTTTTGGTTCATCACAGCAGCCATTATACATTAACATAATTCGTCGACCGCTCGACAGACTAGTATCATATTACTACTTCTTACGAAATGGTGATGATCTGAGACCAAAACTCAAGCGGGCCAGACAACAGGGTCACACCAATAAAGAGGTCAGTATAACAATATACGTGACATTCACTGATCCCTTAAGATATCCTCAGATAGTTGTGAATTATCTGAAGTTCCAATATAAACTGCTTTTTTTGCTCAGTTTATCTGTCATCTTTTTCTCCGAAATCAGATACGAAGACGTGCAGAGCAGATGTTCTAGCCAAGAATTAATTAAGAAATGATGTGGCAAGGAACTTCATGTTAAGTAGTAAGGGAAGAAGGAGACTTTTTTCCAGAGCCACCCGGGGATTTGAGCCAGGGACCCTTTTTAAATGCATTTCCCCCCTCCCAGAGCCTTCCTGAATCTCCTGAACAATTTCCCAGAAAAAAAAATTAAAAATTTCCTTTGCTCAGAAAGCCAGTGGCAGGTTCTTTGTTCTTCAACCTGTAAGGGGAGCATCAAGTTCCGTTTAAAGTACAGCTGTCCATTCCTAAATCATTCAATTTTCTCCAAAACCGTAGAGATCCAGGAGATTTTTAAGAAAGAGAGACAGTTACATCTTTGCCAGCAGATGTCACCAAATCTTATTTTTGTTGAGAAACATACATCCAGTTTGCCAAATTAAAATTGATTGCTGTGCTGCATACATTTGGGTCACATGGGTCAACCAGTCAGATGTTGTGACTTGCTAAAATACAGGCACCGTAAGTCTGGGAAAGGGTGCAGAAGTGCAGTGCCACCACAGTTATGGCGTCCCCTCAGATGAGTGCATAAAGACGATGATTTGGGTGGCTGCAGTGCTTAGGTACATCTAAATGTGGGAAGAAAGGCAACTTTGGCAAGTCATAGCTTTCACAGCATTAGACATCAGAGGAAGTTTGTTGCAACTGCTGTCACCATCGTACAACTGGGCTTCGTTGTTGCATTTATGCCAACTGAAAAGGGGTCTATAGTTAACGTGTAGCAGTTGGAAGAGATTTTCAGGACGCCCCAATCGTTTTTGCCAAACTTTCATTCAAAAAGTCCTTTTTGGTTGCTTATTCTAGCCGTGGCACATCACGTCATGGAAGAAAGAAAAAGCAAAAGAGTTTCCTGACGGTACACCGTACATGTAGAGCATCTTTCACTTTCCCCCTCCCATGTTACCGTCTTTCTGTCCATTTTCTTCTGCTTCCTTTCCTCTCATTCTTTGTTTCAGACGTCCCCTCTGTTTATTTCCTTAATTCTTCCGCGGGTCTCGCTTACATATCTCGTCTTTCTGCTTCGTTGGCCATCTGGCATCCACCCCCCATGCAGCCCATCTGCCACGCTCATTAATTTCCCTCTAAACTTGATTATTGACCCAACGACGGGCCAGATCTGCCAACTTGCACACATGAAGGGATGGAAACGTCTTCTGTATACCTCCCTCGAGACCACCTTTCCTCCTCCCCCCCTACGATTATCTCTAAGACGCTCCCAATGGTTTCCACATGTGGCGTCGTCTTATTACATTCGATCCTCTCCGGACCTAAGTCATCCAGATTGTAAGCCTTTCAGATCTCCCATTAAGCGCCAATTCAGACATTCCCACCCCCCCTCCGTCAGCGTTGCTTCATCGAGCAATGATTTGGGGTAATGGTCCAAACGACTGGAAATTTTCTCCCAAGTTCCCCCTCCGCCGTTTTTTTTTTTTCCATTTTTTTCCCCCCTCTTTCATGTGATATTTGTTCCCCCTAGAATCACCAGGACTAAAAATGGCTTTGCACCTGTGCACTGCTGATTATTCATCTGCTCTGAGTGGCGCGGATTTTAGAAATTAGATTATTGGCTCTGAAGTCGTCTTTTTAGTCAGCTCTATTGAAATGGGCTTTCGGCAGCTGCCGAATCTCAGTTTGAATTATTGCTTGGCTACTTTGAATACAGCTTTTTCTGAATCCTGCAACCCTTTTAGCAGGGATTTCAAATGGATCGGTCGGAATAGGATAAATGACTGGGTAGTTGGATTTAATTGGCTTAGAAATTTGTTCGCTGGGAGCTTATCAAGACAGAGTAGTTTTATCATATCTGCAGACAGTCAGGAAGTCTATTGCTTGTCTTTGACTCTCGTACCGACATTTCTTTTGTAAGCGCTTTACCAGAAGTTGAGGGCCTAATTTGGTATAAAAATACGACAGGTTACTCATTTCTTGTTAATTTGTTCCTCCTTCATGCCAGACTTTTGATCAGTGTGTGGCACGGCGGGGCTACGACTGCTCTGAACAGAAGCTGTGGATCCAGGTGCCCTTTTTCTGTGGACATGCCCAAGAGTGCTGGTGAGTTGGACATTAATGGATGGGCCTAATATATCGATGACATCAATCTTTGTTTACATGTACACTTTCCTACAGAGCCAGTGAGGGCCCATAGTCCACTACGCACCATGGGAAAGCATGCATGTAATTTACAAAGTTTGTCCTCATCAGTACAGGGGTCTGTTGCCATCCTACAAAGTGACTGTAACTAGGATTTTCTTGGGGGGAGGGGCCAGTGAGGAATGAACAAACATCATTGAAGGAAGAAGTAGCCTGTAGTGTTCCTAATTTTCAGCTAACTATCCAAAATGCTGCATCTTTTGAAGTGGATGACTTTTTTAATGAAATGATTGCTGCAGCACCTTGTATAAATCTTGTTTGGGAGAAGTGTGACTGTGAGATGAGTTAGTTCTCAGAGACAAGCTGCCTTCTTGAGGATGCTGGTGAACAAGGACTTGATGCTTATGCTCTCGTGCATATGTTTGTTCGGTAGTGATGTTCTGAACGGTCTTTAAGCAGTGGGTGGAGATTCCATTTAGCCTTTGGGGGGGGAGTTCCAGGATGTTGATGAGGTGATGGGCTAGGTTGTGGACTGGAGATCTCAGGATGAGCTGATTAGTTATTGAGCCAATATCGTCTTTTTTATATAACTGGTGGTCCAATGTCTCATTGGCATTTTTCTTTCTCACTGGTAACCTTCACCACCATCATTTCTTTCTTTGCAGGGTGCCTGGTAGTCGCTGGGCATTAGAGCAAGCCAAATTTAACCTGGCCAATCATTACCTCCTGGTGGGTGTGACAGAAGAGTTGGAGGACTTTGTCATCATGCTGGAGTCGGCCCTACCTTCAATGTTCAGGGGCGCTGTAGATCTCTTCAGAACGGGTTGGTCACTGAATCTTGCAGCACAGTCTCCATCTTGGTCATTTTCCTTGAGTGTTGTACAATTAAAATAAGCTCAACCCAACAAGCGTGAAGTCACCAGACTATTTATTTAAAATTGGTCCTCAACTTTTACCAAATGAGCTGAAATTAAGACAGTTTGATTTCTATGGAGAGGTTGATAACAAGAAGAAGAGAAAGTACCTTGGATCCAAGCTTTAACTTTGATTAGAAGTTGTCATTTGTGTCTGCTCAAGTTGTAGTTTATTCTTCCAAAGATTTAACGTGAATTCATAAGTATTTTGGAGGGAGGGATTTGAATCTGCATTTTCCTTATCACTGATTATTTTGAACAAATTGGCAAGTAAACTTTACTTGCAGCTCACAGTTCCAGACTTAGTTTGGCATATCTGATACATGTATGTCCAAAATGCACATTCCAAATCATTGGAGGTAGCCATTCATGCAAATCTGTAGTTAAATCATCTGATTGGTCACCAACACTTCCTGCTGAGGAGCTCAATTTCGGGCACCGTGTGTTTATACGCATGGCCGGGGTCTCCGAAATTGGACAAAGGAAACTAGGCCTTGTAATAGTGGAGAAAATCCAGCCTTGTTTTGAAACAGTATACCACGGTTTGGGGCATTTAGTGCGAGCGAATTACCACTGGGGACAAAAGCGCTCCACCACTGCAGCGATGAGCCACAGAGCACCGCTGCAAGCTATTCTGGCCCCTATTGAAAAGAGGTCAGCAGCGCACTGTGCCAGCTTCGTGAACAAAGGAAAGTTAGATAACACCGCAAAATCTGGGCATTTTTTTACAAGGCTGCAGGCTTGGCTGAAATACTTGAGAGTCAGTAGATTTTGTCTGTCAGACTAGAGTGGCCACCAGCCAGTAATTCATGTGGGTGTAAACGTCCATTAATTGAAATGATGAATTTTTTAAGAATTTTGAAAACTGAAAATCTTGAAAAATTCCCGATTAGTACACTGCATTTTTCAAACCGTCCGGCAGCAAGTGGTTACGATTCACTCCCCCCGGGTCCATGAAATCATCTTGTCAAATTTTCCTTGGTCCAAATGGCCAGTTCTGCATTCTTGACTCAGAAGCCGTATATGTCATGCAGTTGTTTGAACTTGTTTCTCTCCTCAAACTTTGCATACAGGCCAAAAGTCACACCTACGAAAAACAGCCAACAAGCTCAAGCCCTCAGATGAAACGATAGAATTCTTCAAGTCCTCGCCGATCTGGGAAGTGGAGGAGGAGTTCTACAACTTTGTGCTGGACAACTTCCACATGCAAAAGAAGCGTAGCCTGAAGACAGTGGACGGCATGGTCGTGCCGGTCAGCGGTCAGTTCTTATACGAGAAGATTCGGCCCAAGTGACATACGGTGTGCCCCAGGGCCACTCACGTGTAAAAAACAAGCCTAGCTCTCAGACAAGTTCTTTCACTCTTATTTTTCCCCTGACATTTCTTCATTTTTCACAGTGTTGTATTCGAGTCCGTCACAAGTCCTTTCACAAGTCTCTTCACAAGGCCAGTCGTAAGTAACAGGGTGAACAATGGCAGTAGAACACTTTGGTCAAAGCTCCTTTGAATAGCTTGTGAGTTGGCTTAAGTCTGAATGACTTGTGATGGACTTAGAGGGACTTACAGGGACTTGTGATAGACTCGAATACAACACTGATTTTTCCGATCTTAAAAATCATCAAAAGTAAAGATTCCAGATTATACGCCATTTATTAGGAGGACGACTGTAGGGCATTATTGAAGTTCTGTTTTTACAATGAAAACTGTTGCTATTTAAAGATGAGAGATTTTTAATTGACGTATCAATAAAGTACTGAAGAAAAGATGAAGTCAGATTTGGTATTATATGTTATGTTCAAAATCAGTCTTGTTTTCCGAGCATAGAGCTAGGACTAAAAATAAGCATGACATTGACAGTCATGTAAAGAGGAATTGCACTCCATGCTTTTTTCAATTGTTCGTCACCATGTTAAAGGAACTCTTACCGAGTACCAACTGCAAGGGGTCTATTGGCAATTGTCTCCATTGGATACACCAAGAATTTATGAAAACTATTGTCCAAAGTGAACCAAGAACTGAAGATCGCTTTGATGTTGGATACACTTTTAAAGTTGGATTCCAAAAAGAAGTATATGTTTCTTGTACCCCACATTTGGGAGTGGCCTGTCTGTTATTTACTTCAGCTTACAACTCATCACATCTGTGTGAACCCATTTTCATGTCTGCTTTGTTCTGCAGGCATCTCACGGATGAAGAAACGTATCACTTTCTGTGAATACTGTGCATTTGACTTGTTTCCATGTGCTATGCATATTTGCTATGAATATTGAGGACTAATAATAACTTTGGGGGTTTTTTTGTAATATATATATTTAATCTGTAGTAAAACTAGCTGGCACGTTTAGCTGAAGCAGATGTGTACATTTTTTTGTATTTAATATATGACTGAAAGACTTTTTGTTTCCATTTCATTTTATGTGAATTGCACTGTGCTCTGGGAATAACATCTGTCTGCTTGATAAGGGGCACAGAGCATTTGCTCGAGGCTGAATCTAGGGGGTTTTGTTTGGTTTGTTTTATTCAAGGATGCCTTTACACGAGAATTGAATTTTGAATGTACCCATTCCAAAGTATTCCAACTTTGGAGCAAGTTTGGATAACTACCAAGGAGTCTTTTTTTCCTGGAGCTTTTCTGACCTTTCTAATCATGCTCTCGTTGCTGCAGAAAAAAGTCCCCTCACCACAACACTTACTTTCTCACCCACTTGACGCACAGATATAATATTTTGTGCAAACCTGTACGATGTCTGTGTTCACATGCCACTTTTGATCACAATACAAAATGCAAGAGTTTTGCCATTCTCTCATTCCTTTAGAGATTAGGACGAGATCAGAGATTTTACATGTATCCCCTCGCTGGGTTTATGTGTGGGATTGTTTGTTCTCATTTTGTTTCTGCTTTGGAATTTCATTGTCTCAGTAAGTATCAAAAGTTAAAGGTCAGGTTTTTCTCTTGTTTCTTAAGACAGAAAGTTGACTGTTTCGTATCAATAATACTGTACATGTACATTGTATTTGATTTCATTCAACTGTAAAAGATAGCACTCAAGGGTTAAATTACAGAAGGGCCAACATCTGTGCTATGTCATTGAAGCTAAGAAGTTGATTTATGTCCATCAATGATTCAAGCTGAACATAGTAGATCTGTATATGAAGCATCCAAAGCATGCTGGGTGTGTTGTGTAACAGAAGTCGGACTGCAGATGCTACGTACATTCTGTCTGCAGTGAAATGTCAGTCCTCTGGGATCAGTTGCATTACTTGCTACCCTCAACAGTTTCAAATTACTGAAGAGAGCCAGGATCATGCTTTTTCAAGGGTTATGGGTAATTACAGCTAAACTGAAGCTCATTCAAGCCGGAGTGTTTGGCACAGGTGTCACAGCATGTCATCGTAGACCAATCGTTGGATATGACTTAGTCCTAGCAGCAACCTGCCATTGTGGAAGCATCTGGTGTCTTTTTGTTACACCTTTGTGAACTGAATATCACTGCTAGGTAAAATTGCTCCAAATTATGTGATGCAGCATCACGGTGTTTTTTTTTGTTTGGAGACTTAGACGTAAATGAACAGCTGCACATGTAAGCAGTAAGCAAGTGTAGATCTCGTTGAATACCGGACCAGGTCACCTTTTTTCATGGAAGAACATTACTGCTAGGTCCTTAAAGATCCATTTTAGGACCTATTGTATATATTTCTTTGTACAGCATGAACATTTTGTACATAATAAGGATCATGTGACTGTGATTATGTGGTTTTTGTCTCTGGTGCAAGTTGCTGCAACAGTCAATAACAAATGGAAAACTGGAAATATCTAAAAACGTTCTTTGCTTTAAGAATAGTCAAAGACATACTCATGACCAGAAATATGCAAAGAAGTTGTCAGATATTGTTGGAAAGTGCAACAACTTTTACATAAATGCCTATCCATTTCCTATGTATGTCATTTTTGTGTCATCTTATCATGCTGTAGAATATATTGGCCGCATATTGTTTTCTTGTAAGTGCAGTCTTATTACTGCAAAAATGGATAACATTATTTATTGACGTCCTGTTACAACAGGAACCATTTGAGTTCAGAAGAAAAAGTTCAAAAACAGAAAATAGTTCCTGTTGTGAAGTTGGCACATACATGTACTTCTGAAAAACTGGACTCCACCAGGGTTAACAGCAATATTAAGGCTCAAACCTTTGTAAACCTTATCTCCATTTCTGTTGTCTTTTTGATGGCATGAAAAAGTGCAGATTGTAGATTCAGTTACCATTGATCTCATATATGTTTACATTTTTCTTCTTTTGTGATTGCTTCTGTGAAGACCTAAAATCCTGAGGTATGGGCATGCACAGTTGCAGCAATGAAAATGACTGATTGTTTTGTTGGATAGAGGTTGAAATCTACAAGGGGTGGTCAGCTTTCCTGCATTTAGTGTGAGACTCGTGCATGTCAAGTTATACTCACATTCTCATGCCGATGTGGAATACGAGCGATTCCCAATAGTGCGCCACCAAGAGTGTGTAACGTATTGGCCAATCAGAACGCGCGAAATTTGTAGACCCTTTCCAAACGCGCAATAGGTCAATGAATTCCACGCATTGTGATTGGCCAACGCGTTGCAAACTCTTGGTGGTGCACTATTGTGAAACAGCCGTATTTCTCACACAAAACTTAAATGAATACCGAACAGTATTTTATAAAGTAATTCCAACCCATCTGTGTCCATTTCTGGAAGGAGCAAACAAACAAAATACCGGGTGTCCGCATAAAAGTATACGAGATAAAAATTACTGTTATGGCAAAACTACTTCATGTATGGGAAAGAGAAATACAAATATATATATCTCTAGAAAGGGCAGAATGCCCTCTTTGTAATGGTATGCAGCTTGTGATGTTATTGACACAGATGAGTGAACAAACTAGACCGGTGTTAAGGGTGCTGAAATTGGCACTGTGACAAGTTTGCATATTTGATTAACAAGGCTAGACCATGCAAGTAGGCATAATGCCAAATTCCTTTGCTTTAAGAACACATTTTTAAAAAACAAGGAATGTATGTAAATCAATCTAATTTGCTTTGTTTTTGCTACTTATAAGTTTAATGTGCTGTACCCTCCACATGGCCACCATTCCTGTCAATGCACATCTGACATCTTCGTAACATGTCCCTTACTGCTCGTCTGACTTTTGACTTCTGTTGTTCAAAATATGCAACTTTTCACAGTGCTGATTTCAGTACCCTTAACACCAGTCAAGTTTGTTCATTCATCTGTGTCAACAATGTCACAAGCTGCATACCATTGCAAAGAGGGCATTCTGCCCTTTCTAGAGGCGTCTTTCTCTTTCCCATATATAAAGTAGTTTTGCCATTACAGTAACTTTTATCTCTGTAAACGTTTTATCTGGACACCCTGTATACAGACAAGTAAACACACAAACAAACACATAAGCTAACCAACAAATGATGTGATTGGCTTTTTAATGCAGTAGGGGGTGATGGTATCCGGTTCATAAGTGACTTCGTCAAAAAGGCAGACGCGCAATGATTTGCAGGCTCCCATTGGACGATCGCTGAAATTGCGCGTTAACTTCCAGTTCCATGTAAATGGCGATCAATGCATGTGACTCTGTGTGCAGTGCATGTGCTGTGGGTGTGGTTTAAACTGAAGTGACGTCACACTTACGAACCAGATACATAGTTTGCGTGAGTCTGCAAGTCTGACATGGGTTCCAGAGCTACTGCTATGTTTGATCTCACACTCAACTCTCACTCAGTGTTGGCAACTCTGTAGATGTTGGGCATAATAAGGCATTAGTCTCTTTACAAGCAGCTGAGTTTACCTTTTCTGTTAATTTTGCAAACCGAGCCCCATTTTATTCAGGCTATGATTATTTCACCTTGTTAAAGACAAAGCCATTCTGTTTCTTTTTCATATTGAAATGATAATCTTAGATCTCTTCAGGAGTGGCATGCAGTAAATGAAAATTAGTCATATGAAAACAAGGCATTTCATCGGCTCCGTTAATTATTACTAGTAGGATTTAACTTCAGTTTTGTCAAGTAACTTTCATAAACTACTTCAGTACTATCAAACTCCCACCACATCAGGTTGCCTGTGCATATTATCATACAGACCCAGTTGTACCATTGAACTGTAGCAGACACACCCTGGAAAGAAATCTCATATTGGGTGGTATCAAGAGAAGAACTTTTATTTTATATCACTGTGCAGTACTACTATGAAATTCTCAGATTCAGTCTTAAATTGTGTTGACAGCTAGAGGGAAAAGGATTTCTGCAGTGGAATGCACAGAAATAGTGGTAGTTGCATGCAACAGCAGTTTCTAAAAGCAAGTTTGAGAATCCTCTTTGAAAATTAAAGTGACATGTCGGCTAAGTGGGGGAAACTTTGGTACAGCATACAGCACTGGTTTAACTGTACCACACTGGCATGCACACATACATGTACATACAGAGATCCAAATAGGAAGCTGGATTACTTGGAGAACTCCCTTAAGCTGCCATGTTTCCTGTCTACAAAACAAGCTGAAAGCTCTTTTTTTATTGTGCATTTCCTGAATTCAGTGAGCCAGAATGTAGATAACAGGTTTTGGTCGTCTTTTCACGGTGCAGCTGTCTTTGTTTGGCAGCTACTGGTGACTGTATTGCTACATATTGTCGATGTCAGTCTCGCTGTAGCGAGATTGCAGGAGGCAGAACTCATTGAGTATTTATTCTCCCTTGTCTATATTAGATGAACAAAACACCTTGTGAGCTCTCCTCTGTGATTCCTCAAGTTTTCCCGCTCCTTTTTCTGTCCTTCAACTGACAGTATTATTATAGTTTTTATTGCCCCTAAAAATCCCTCTGTGATGTTTTAGTAATGCAAATGAGACAGGGTTCTCTCTTCCAGACAGGGTTCTTTCTTTGCCTAATAAGTAAGGTTGCTTTGAGGGATAATAGCCTAGGAGTTGGGAGGTTTTTCTTGTTTTGTGAAAAGTTTTCCATGATATTTTTTAAGTCTCTTAAGATGCCTCATTGATTCATGAAAATCTCTTGTATTTCAAACCATTACCTCAGCTTTAAAGTATTGACATGAACCATGGTGCATACGTACACATAAGTAGCTAGTGTAGTGGAATTTTCGTTAGTCCCTTCTGGCAGGATGATGTAAACTGCTGTTGACTTTGGAGGTTGATTCAGAAAGCTCAAATTGTATCTTCACTTTGGATGGCATAGCACTGCTGAAAAAGAAAGTCATGAAAGCCTGACCGTTTTGTAATAAAAGACCACTTCGGTATAGTGAAATGCAGTGTTATTTGTGTATTTGTGAAATTTAAAGGAAGGCACAGTTAGTCTCAGCGTCAATTCAAGGACTGGTGAGGCCATTCAGGGGACTTGCCAACCCCTCTTCCACCCCTGTGTTGGAGCACAGGCTATATGCACAGTGGGGGGGGGACTTGCCAACCCCTCTTCCTCCCGTGTTGCTTTTATACTATGGAGCACAGGCTATATGCACAATGGGGGGGGGGGG